TTGATTGTGTTGAAGTTTTGAAAACAAAGCAAAACAAATAACATGGGCCCACAATCCATATGGTAAGTTTTTGAATCCAAGATAGTAGAGATTAAACTCGTTGAAGGCCTTAAAATGATACTTTTGATGCATTGCTTTCATTTCATTACTCTTATTTCCAAGCAGAGAAAACTGAGAAGTATTTGATTGTTGATCAAAAAATTGCTCATTTATGTTGCGGTTCCTAGAGAGTTATTTTCAAACATTTGTAGTAGACTAATGCAAAAAAACTTTGTAACTAGCTCTGAGTGTACCTTAAGTCGCTCTGTAAGATAGTTCTTTTACTACATCAATTAAATTATTATATAAGTTAAACATTTTCTTTCAGTCGTCTAAACTTTTACAAGAGGCCCCCAAGAGAGATCCATTGTTGGTGGGAATCATAGGTTGTGGCCGTCTGGGAAAGCAGCTTGCAAGCACTCTACTAAAATTCTGTGAGTTACATTATTTTGTAAATATATGACTGAGACAAAAGTCTAATGAGTTATTGATTATTAATTAATTTACATGTAATTAGTTCAGTATTAATAATTAATGTATTTCTAATGACTAGTTTGCTATTAATAATCAATTTATTAATTTTATTTAGTTAATATTATCAATTATTAATTATGCTCTGAAAGTGGTGTTTTCAATCTATCTTATGAGAAGGTCACTCCAGGAAGCATACTTTTTTTTGTCAACACTGTAATGTATGTGTTTTGGTTCCCACCTTCAATAATAATGTGTGCCTTGTTTTGGTGTGTGTTTTATGGGACCACCAGTTTGAATGTTGTAGTTTTAGAGTCCTGCTACAGAATAGATAAAAGGAAGTCATACTAGACTGAAAGATTACTTTACAAACACTACTAGAAATCTTGTGCTACGTTTAGCCACTGACTGAACTTTCGGTCTCTAAAGTGCAGGTTTTCTTTATGAAATTTGACTCCAAAGAAGCCCAAAATTGTTGCTGTTGCTGCCACTTTGAACAGTACTAAGCAGCCAGGCCACGTTTTTGTGAGCTCATTCCGTCCAAGGGATTTTGTCTGATGGCTTCCAAGAAACCTTTTAACTTCCACTCTAGGTTATGGCTGCTCTTGAGCTGTATTATTTCAACCCAAACGTGCTCCAAACTTTGAAAATGATAGCAGTGAAGATAGTGAAGTGGATAATCCATTGGAAAAATACATTATGCTGACCTTGTGAAGGATGCAAAGTTAGTTGCAGGTTTTTTTTTTTCTTTCCCACCAATTTCGAGTTGGACGGAATGATGTCACATAAACACAGCCTGGCTACCAAGTATTTTATTTCAAATGAATTATTATACCCTGAATTTGTATTTAACGAGACCAAAACAACTTAAAAGCGTTATCTTTATTTTTTGAAGTTGCAAAGTAAAAGACAATTCAGCCATGTCGTTTTGGTAGGAGAATTCAGTTTTGACTGCTGCTCATACCAAGGGCATGGCTGTTATCTGCAAGGATTTTCATGACAGCAAATTTTGATTTTAAATGTGTCTGATTCTGTTTGTTGGTACATGTAAATGTGTTCCAGAGTTACATGTACACTAAAAATTATAAATCTACATCATTATGGTCCGGTTTTTCAAACTGATGATGCTGTCCATCAGATACATTTCTATCCAGTAGATAATTTTGGCAAAACAAACCGCACTATCCACTGGATAGTGTTCAGTTGTCTGCCAGTGCCTGTCAAGACTCTAAAACAATTGATTTCTGGGCAATGCTGTAACAGTATGACATAACTGTGCAAGTACATTTAAATATAACTCCTGTTCAATCTCCTTTTCTATCAGCTGATGTTCACCCTGAAGAGTTATTTCTCTCAACAAGGAGGCCAGAAACATTGTCTGCCTTGCAAATAAAAGGAGTTCATTGTGGATTTGACAATGCAAAGGTTTGTGTGAATAAAGGATTTTTCATTTGACTTCTGCAAAGACCTTATTACTAAGGACACAAACTTAATGCTTCGTAGAGTAAAGTCTAACCTCTTTCTTACTGTCTGCCCCCATATGGATGCGTCTACATGTATATCGTGGAAATTGCATTAGGTCCCAGGGAAAGCATAATTCATGTAATCTCTGCTATCATTTATAACAACGATTCGTGCATAAAACGCACATTCGTCACCCCCTACCCCCCCTCCCCTTCGTATCTCACAGGTTCCACTGCTTTTGTCTGAGGTACCAAGTACTGGAATGTAGAAGAACAAAAGGTTCAAATGCAACTGCAAAGTTTTGTTGTTTGTTTGTTTTAAATGTGAAGTTTTTGCACAGTAAAGTTCAAGGGAGTCCCATGACTGTTGGCTGGTCTTGTTTGATCTAGCTTGAACCCAAGAAAAGCCAACCATGCAGGGTTCGAAATTAACGCTCCCAAACTCGGAAAATGCGAGTGATTTTGATAATTTGTGAGTGAGAAAAATATCCACCGCGAGTTAGAATCATCCATGTCTCCCAAACATTTGGAAAGAATTTGCTACATGTAGTGGTCTCTCCAACTTGCTAGTGGAAAAAATCTCACTACCAAACTTTGCAAGTGTGTTAAAGAGTTAGCTTGGAGCCCTGCCAAGAGCACTAGTAAAGAAATGCAAGTCAGAACTGACTTTTGACTTTCCACGTTTCAAGCTATAAACCACTGTGCACTGAATTGGTGTGCCTGTGTTAAATGTTTGTGTGTGGTCTTCCTGAGATGTACAATATACACTACAACTCAACAATGTTATTCTATCGAATGTCTCGTGGAACCCTGTTTTGTGCGCTATGTTTTATCTCTCAGGTGTGTTCCTCGGTTCATTTACTGTTCATTTGCTGTCTACCATCACAGCTGCAAACAGTGGCTAAGGTAAAGTTATTATACCTCATTTATCAAACATGGCCCTAGGCGTGGTAAACCAAAGTTAAGGTAAATACGTACACTGTATATGTCAAGTTCGACAATAGCGACAGACGAAAAATGTGCGTAACTGTACATGTTACCTCCTCCTAGCGCGGGAAAAAAATGCTGAAAAAAACGTAAGACAAGGCATGATCATGCTTGGTTTTGCTCACACTGCAAAACAGACTCCTCCCCTAAAAAGATGCCGTACATGTACATTTCTAGATGAGTGGACAGACTGGTCATTTTGATTGCAAGGAATAAGACGAGAGACGTGACCAGATTAAAGATTCTTGAAACTGTCATACCGTAATTCATCCATCAGTGTAAGTGGTCTCCCACGGTTAAGCGCGCTTTGTCATTTGTGAATCTTGAAGTTAAAAAAAACTGCACCCCCCCCCTTCCAAGTTTAAGAAGAGCACTGAGTCAGAATAAGGATCGTCAACTAGTTGAACACGATCGGTTTTCTCGCATTCCAGTTTGAGTACATCACTTTTCGCTCACTCTCTAACAGGAAATCAAAGGACACTTGAAATGCCCTGTTTACGTTTTAGTTGGAGGTAGGTAACAAATTCAATCTAAGACTTTTAATTAAATGAATTATGCCAGCATGCATTTTCCTCGAATCATCACTTTTCAGAGGGAATATGCCGACGTGTTTTGTAGCAAGTGTATAGTATACCGACTGAGTACATTGTGCTGCTTCTCTTCCCACGCTTCCTGTCGTTTTCTTTCTTTTCGTTATTTATAAAAACAGCCCATCAACCATTTTTTTTTATTTAACGTTCTCGGAACTTCATTGGCTTAAAGGCGCGCTAAGATCATGACTCTTGAAAGTGAGAACCCAAAACACATATTTCCATTGATGTAAACCTATGACGATAGTCTAATTTTGGTAAGAAATACTATCTACAAGTGCACTGTTAAAGATGGGTGTTGTGATGGGTAATCTGCAGTTGTGTGCAGAAGGTTTGGATTTTAAAGTCCGACAGACTTTTTTGTAATTCTGTCGACGTGTTAGGTTCGCAATTTCTGTTAGGTTCGCAATTTCAGTTTGCTATCTTCCTTAATCCAACGCAATAGACGTTTTGAGCTTGGTCATTTTGTTGCTCCATTTCAGACCATGTGCCGATGATACTCTTGATAATTCTTGCGTTCAAATTTTCAAATAGCCGAGTGTGTATAAATGAACTATTTTTAGATGGATGAGAGAATAATACTCTAGAGAATATCACATGGTCTGAAATGGAAAAAACAAAACAAACAAACCAAGGTAAAAAGGCAAATTTACATCACAAGTTGGCAACGTTCTCACACAGGGACACCACTCTTGAGGATTTGTCAGCTGCTGGGGTATGATCAGATCATCAAGCCGGAGTTTGTATCCTTTGAGCGTTTCGTACTAATTCTGTGCAGGCTGTAAAAACAATCCACAGCATTCAGTCAAAACCAGCGCCTATGTGATCACCATCTACCCTGATTCAAGCATCAAAATGTAAAGTCGTGATCAGGCAGATTAGTTTTACCGAACTGATACTAGTTTACATGTTTGGAAAGAAGTGAATTAAGTGATGTCAGCGCGTAAGGGTAGAAAAGAGCTCTTGAGGTACCAAGGGAAAAACTCATAGAGGAAAATCGTTTACTGAAAATATCTCTTTCAGAGTGAATTATATGAAATTGAATTAATAATAATAATAATAATAATAATAATAATAATTTACATTTATATTGCTCAGGTTGCATGAATATATGATCACCTGCGCATTACAAAAGTGAACTATTTAACAAGGGTGGCTTTTTCAATTAAGACCCATACTCCATACTGAATTGTGCGCTGATGTAGATTATTCATGTTCAGTAGAGTTTTTTTGTTAAAGGAGAAGGTCACTCCGGAAAACGTATTTTTTTTGTTAACGCTGATTAAAAACCTCGCACTAACTTTAGTCACTCGCCGAAGTTTAAGCCTCTTAAGTGCAGGTTTTTCCTTATGAAATTCGTCTCCAAAGAAGACCAAAATTTGACATCATTGCCGCCATTTTGAACTGTACTCAGCAGCCAGGCCGCGTTTTCGTGACGTCATTCCGTCCAAGACATTTTGTCCAAATGGCTTCCGACAAGCCTTTTATCTACCACTCTGGGCTATGGCTGCTTTGAAGCCGTATTATTTTGGGCCAAACGTGCTCCAAACTCCGAAAATGAAAGCAGTGAAGATAGGGAAGTGGATAATCGCTTGGAAAAAAAAAAAAAACATTTTACTGACCTTCGGAATTTCGTCACATAAACACGGCCTGGCTGCCAAATACAATTCAAAACGGCGGCCTCCGAATCGCTTCTTTCGAGAAGAATTTCTTCAGTATAGCAGGCACTATAGCGGCTGAAACTTCGGTGGGTGAAAAAGCTGAATGTTTACTTGCTATAGGCGAAGACAAAAATCTAAGCTTTTTTGGAGTGACCTTCTCCTTTAAGGGCTAGGCGCTCATTAGCTATCATGCCAAAGAAATTTCGAGCTCAAGACCTAATTGTTGACTTAAAGATACGAGCTTGTGTTTGCTGCAGGTAATCTTATATTTGAGTCAAGACAGCTCTGTTGGTCGGAGCGGTCAATAATGTACGCGAAAATCGTAGAGTTTTTTTTTTTTTTTTGTCGTTGTTATTTTCAAGACAAATTAAAAACAAAACCCAATGTTTTTAAAGCGTCCAGGGTGAAAGTAGATCTATAAAAGTCTCGAGCATGCTCGTAATATTTTAGATATCAAGTGATTTGTTTTTTATTCCAGTTCTATAATAGATACCTACTTGCTGGATACAAGCCTTAGGTCAAATTGCCTTGTATTTATCAGTTGCAATGTTATCTTTCTTTAACTACTTTGAAGTCCTGGAAAAAACCAGACCCAGATGACGAGTCTTGTAACAACTGGAATATCGGTAAAGAAGTAAGGAAGCTTATTTGTTGTTTGTTTGTTTGTTTGTTTGTTTGTTATAGTATGCAGTCATCTCTTTAGGCATATATGTTTACTCTTCAAACTTTTGGGAACTGTTTATCTAAGAGAGGTATTCAACTTAGAAGGATATGAACTTCTATTTTCACCGGAGACTATCGGTGCATAGCGAAGCGGTAATGCTGCGTCCTGGTCGAAAGAGCTTGCCGCAGATTTACAGCGATTGAACAAATTTCTCAAGCTGGTTGTAAACTAAACGCCGCTTCAAAGCAGCTGCAGTGCCTCAGTGGAAGGAAAAAAAAAAAAAAATTATTCTTGGTTTTCACCTGACGTCACGGCGGCCATGTTGGAGCCCCTATACAAAGAAACGACGGCCATGTTGGAGCCCAAAATTTAACCTCCGGGAATTGAACTCTATTTTTATGTAAATCTTTTCTTTGTTTCGGTGAGAAAACACGGCTGTTGATCACGTGAGTGGAAACCAAGAATATTTATGTTCATTAAACAGTAAGTTGAGGATAAATCACTCGAGTCCAAAACTGAGACTTTTTTGTCTCTTTCAGCACTTGGTTTCATCAAGCAATTTGAGAAATGAGAAAATTTTCTTAAGTTATTTTTTATTATTATATACATGTTCACGCTTGTGTGGTCAATCAAAGAAATGAAAATCTGTCGTAACCTGGTTAAACCAAGTGTGAATGCCGTGTTAAACCGCCTTAGTACAATCCTCTTCCTTTACGGTATATCATTTAGTTATTATTCGATTCAGGGGTCAAAAACATCTCTTCACTCATTTCCGTTTGCTCGTCTCCGGTATCTACTCCTTGTTGATTTTCATTCTTTGAAGAGTAAACGCAGTCTTTTACAAACGCGTGTTGTCTTTCTTTGTCTTAGATTAACGAGATCCTTCGCGAAGATCCTAGCAGTTGTGACGTCACATGTCCTCTTAATCTGAACAAAGATAGTAAGTGTGCTGTTTTAGCAGAAGTAGCCCTCTTCACAGGTTACTTTTTCTCATTTTCCAACGTGTATGCGAGGCAATTTCGGTCTAAAACCACAATTAAGACCGAAATTGCCTCACACACATGCTGGATTATATTGTAACGCAAATGAAAAGTCACCCGGGAAAAGCGCTTTCAAATAAACAGAATCAACCAGCCTGTATGACTGGTTTGTATGTAACATAATCATCTGCCTAGCGTGACTTAGTTGCTTCTTGATTGACAGCTGCCATTGTACAGACGGCTGAAGAATGGGCCGAGTTGGCTGTTCTTGCTTTTTTTAACATGTGTACAGATAAGGAGTTGGACAAAGAGGAAACTATACGGTACTTCATGTAAACTAGATTATTGTTAATTGTTTTCACTGTCTCGATTCTTAGTAGCCGAGAGAACATACAGTTATGACGTCATGTATGTAGAGTTGGAGACTTGCCGCGCTTTATCTGCTTCGTTATCGACAGTTGGAATGACATTTCTCAGAAACAATTCTGAGAAGGAATTACTATTACATCAGTAAAGGAGCCTGAGTATAAAATTGTGTACTGAAGCATCGGCTACAGTTTGCATGCATGGAGCTCAGCATTGGTAGTTTGAGAAATGTTGCGAGGCCACGCAAACAGCCCAGAAGTAGCAGCAATATCATGCCACGAACTCGCCCTTACTGTTGGCTCCTATCTCAAGTCCTGCTTTTAAGTGTCAATATCGCCTACAGGGCTTGCAGCAACTGAGATATTCGTTCGAGACCTTTTTTTCTTTCTTTTTTGATCTGACGCTATATTACCCTAAAACTGAGATTTTAAAGTTTCCACTCTAAATCCCAGTTCAGCGAGTGCGTCAGCAGAAAAGAGCCCAGTTTCTAATGTGATCATCGCGTCACTTCAGGAATCGCAAATCTTGCCGCTGAAAAATTCTCTTTTCGTATGAAAGTCGTACCCTTGAAGCAGTTGAAACCTTATGCAAATCATGACGGCAATGGCAACAAGAACGGCGAGGAAATCAAGGATTCTGCGCGTAAATTATGCATGTTTATGCATTTTTAACGGCCTTCTGCAAACTGATAACAATGTAAAGTTTCCATTTTCTAAGAATTTTGGGGAAAGTGGACTACGACGGTTAAGTTTTCGTATTTCTGTTTGAAAGTGAACGCTTTTTTTCATTTGTTCTGCTCTAAGTGACATCCTAAAGCACCAATCTCCAAGCACTCGCTCAACTTGGATGTTCTTGGTTTTTATGTGGTCCTAAATTATTGTGAAACTCAGAAAACCGTGAACACCTGAAATGATTATGGAATGTGATTGTGTAGCGAGGGAAAAGCCATTTAGGCGTGCAAAAACTAAACCACAAACAGCAATGGTAATAAGTCTCTGGTTTTGAGCTTTGCTCGCATGTCCTGAACTTTAATGTGATTGGTCAATACACTATTGACCTGTCAGAGTCAAGTGTTCGCGGTTTTCTGAGTTTCCCAATGAAATGCCGCCCGCCTTCAACAGAAAAATAATGTCAACTTCTTTGTCTTCTGTATACTCACTCTTATCGAGCTTGTTTCTGTGTTTATTTTGATTAGACTTTGTAACACTATCATGTTTGGCATGGGTCCTACAGATGACCCTCTTGATGGTATCTCCCTAGATGAAGTTGTTTCTGATGAGAACCCATTGGCAATAAGTAACAGCAGCGTGGATGAAAAGTAAGCCATTCTTGCACTAAAGGCATTTTCTTTGTCTGTCGGGAATCAGTTCTCCTTTTTTTTCCCATCTAATGCACACTTCAATACAGAACAAGTACCAAGTACCATAATGAGTGTCCACATGGTTATCTAAGCTAAATACTCAGACACTTAAATGGAATTCATTCATTCACTCTAATTAAATCTGCTTTTTTTTCACAAAACGATCGGGTCTGTTTCATATCTTTACGGAGAGAAGAGCATACAGAAAATTATTTCCGTTGTCAAAAAGAAAGACCAATTTGTGACGGAGTCTCAGTCGCCACCAATACACATTCTCCCAAGTAACATTAAGTGTAACTTATGCGAATGGGTATGAACGAGCTGTTGTTTGAGACTCGTGGAAGAGCAGAAGTGACATACGATCACTACATTGACCAGGTTTCCATTCTGGCACGGAAACGGAGTTGTGAGCCGTTGAGTCTGTTGTTGCTGGCTCTCCGGTTTAATTGGACTTCCAAATTCGGGATTGATGCGGAATCTTAGAGTGACAGACTTGAATCGAGAATCTCAAGGGTCAGTGAATTCATCGTCATTAAACAGACTCAATTCAGCAATTCGTTTATTTAAATAAACTAGAACTCTCGACTGATCTTACTTGTTTTGTTGTGTAGATATTTTCCACGGTTCGATCTCAGTAAACTCTCCACCAGTCGGTGGAAAATCGGAGAACGTCTGATGGAACCAAGCGGGAGCCTGAGGCGATTGTTTGTCAAGAGATACCGAGCGGTGTTTGACAAGTAAGAGAATTTACTTATTAATCACTTGTTTTATAATCAGTACTCATATTTCTTACATGGTCACTGACTAAATTCCATCATTCAGTAGCAGGGGAGATCGAGTTATTAGTTGCCCTCGCGTTCATTACTTTGTTTATCAACCGTGTCAAATAGGAAAATTTCAAACTTTGACCCTTCCTCAGAGCACATTGGTTTACTTTCTCACTGAAGCAGTCCTATATACAGGAACTAATTGTGTTATTTAAGGCCTTGTTTGGCTGGCTCGTCTATTGCCAGTACTGAGCTTGTTTTATTGTCGAGGGGCTTGTGTTTGGAAATTCTTGTAATGTTCATGGGAATGGGAGGGTTGGGTCCTAATGGTTGGTGCATTGCAATCCGAGCGAGCTGTCATGCACTCTCGCGATGCCTCTCTCTTTCTAGGAGTGAAAATGGTTACTGGTGGTCTGTTAAGACGGCCTGACAGAATATTGAAGAGTAACATGTGATGACTAGCAGAAACTAGACTCAGCAAAATTAGCCTTTGATCTTTTCCCATCTGAGGAATTAGGGCAAATTTTATCTAAATTATATTAGTATAAATCTACTAGCGTTTTAATTGTTAAATAGACGCGAATACGTCTGTGAGTCGCATTGCCACAGATGCTGAATTAGAACACATTTCATTGGTTAGTAGAATCTTGAAACTAGATGAGAGGAATTGAGATCAAAAGTGTATTTTTAGGTTATTCATTTATAATCTGTTTTTAATATCCTTTCTCTTTCTTATTTATATCTTCTTTAGATTTCAGTACTGGAAGGGCGTTCCGACGAGCATGTCTTAATCAGCGAAGAGATTAAAATTAAGTGTCGCTAGGGATTTTATTTTTGTTCTATTTTGTAAATAATGACCGTTGTGAATTTTTTGTCTATATCACATTCTTGCATCTACGTGAGTGTTTATGTCGTTAACCAAAAGAATATTGTCAACTTGGTTTTCTCAGCGAGATGTTCATGAACGATTCTCTGCACAGTTTTATTATTCAAATACTGTGTAAGCATTGAGTTGATCTTGATATTTATCAGTAAATTGTTATGAAAATTAATGTGTTATGTTTTTATTCCTTCCAACGTTTGATGAATACTTGTATAAGTTATAAAGAAACCAACATATATATTTCTATTATCCTCATGTTTTCTTCTATATTGTTTTATTTTTTATGGTTCTTTGGCTTTAGATTTAGTCCAAAACTGCCTTTCCCATATAAGCAACTCATTTCTACGGTCCGTTGGGGCTCTTTTCTTTGAAAAAGCGATCGCTCTACTATGACTGTTACTACACAAACACTGGGCATCTTCTCACTGACTGGGATTGTTTGGTTTCAGCACTTGTAAATGATTTAACTTTTGTGTCATGTGTACTTTGTGGCACCTTGCTGTTCGAAATCATTAATCCCAAGCCCAGCCTGCAATTTCAATTGTTCACATAACGTTTATGAACTTTTCACCCGTTAGTAAGTACATCAACAACAAAAAATGGTAATGTTTTTAAGATTTGCTTTCTCGATAATGTCGCTCTGTTACTACCGACCTCACTTCATGCTAAAGCTGCGATCCAATTGTAATTAACAAACTTTTGGACCTTGTAGAAAAGGTGTTTAAATATGCCAGCAGCATAAAAACAACGTTAAACGACGATGTTACAAAAATCAATCAATAGCTAAAAAACTCGGACCCTAGTAAGACCATTCTTCATGACTATCACCAGTCCTTTACTGGCATCCTGACACTGTTCATTGAATTCGTGGTTAGAGTTCAAGCTCTTTATGTTTTGAGAAAAAAGCGACTTTAGCGAAATCTGGCAACGTCGCAATAGTCACAAACAGTTAAATGGCGCATCTGTAAATTTAGATATTGCTTGTAAGGAAACGATTATGAAAGAAGTTAAAATAGTGTCAGACTGAAGACGAACTGTAAGTCAAACCATTACAATAAAGGAAAGTCGTCGCTTGAATAAAGGAGAATTATTACAATGTCTTGATAGTGAGTGAGCAATAACAAAGTTCATCTGTGAATGATCCCAATAGAATACAGTTTCGAACAGAGTAAAAGGAAGTTGTTCAAGATCAAAAGTATTTCTTTTATGCGTCCGGCTATGATTGTTAACTATAATTGTCCAGTTTAGAGTCTTAGAGGGTTCCACGAAAGGTTGAAAGAGAATTTGACTTAAAATAATATTTATCGGCAGGGAATTCCGAACTTGATATAATTTTAAGGTGAATTAAAATTACATTTAAAGTAAATTTTAAGGAGCGTAATTCATCTTGAGCATAAATAAAGATTTCCAGCACACATAACAAACTGAAGAGGTAGAATGGAAATAGTCATTAAAACATGGAGGTAATGGTCCAGATGACCAGTGGTAAACAAAGGAGAGTACCTGGGATTTAACAATATTATTAAGGTTTAGTAATTTGCGAGATTTGAAGGAGTTCTGGTTTCAGAAAAAAAGTTGTTAATTCTGATTCCTCTTTTTTCTGCAGCAATTAATGGTGTTAAAATTGAGGGAAAAGTTTAACCCAAAACATGGACGGCAAAAGTAATAAGGAAAAGATAAAGCGTAAGAATGATAATCTTCTATCGACAAAATACCTCACTTTAGACAAGATACCCACAGGTTTTGAAAGTTTAGGACGAAGTTCATCGATATGATTTTTCCATGTTAATTGGCGTCAAATGTTACACCTTAATACTTTGGAATGAGAAAATATAAATTTGGCTAAGCGGTTCTTCTCTTGATTTCATCCTTTCGGCAATCATGTTAAAGTTAATGGCACACCAAATTAGCAATTAAGGGCACAAATTATTTATCAGAGGTATGTAGCGTCACTAGTATGGACAATTACTTCATGCAGGTATGAACATCAGTACACAAGTATTCGTCCTCTGATTAGCCTATGCTGCTTGAACAAGTGTTTCACTCTTTTTTGGCGTGCTGTTATTATCCTGGGAATTGTTTTCTTTCTTTCCCTGGAAGTTATGTAGCTGCATTTTTAAGGTAATCCGTGACGAGTTGTTAAAAAATATGACTCTTTGAAACTTTTTCTCTATAAATTTTTTTCCGGTGAATCTTTAAATATATATTTTTCGATGGACATCACGTTTAAGGAAACGACTATAAAAAGATCTCTGGAGTGAATTAGATTTACCAATTATAGTCTCAAATTGTAGGGGAATTGCTATTCTCGGAAATCCAGGGGCAGTTAGAAATGGAAATCAACTGGGCGAAAGCGGCACGAATGAAAAGTTTGTGAAAATGAACGACAGGCCATGACGGAGCTACAATTGCGTGTCGAGCAATTTTGCACCATTTTGAATTTTGAGCCATCTTGTTTAAGTTAATGGCACCCTTAATTGGTAGTTAAAAGGCCAAAATGTATATTAGAAGAGACATTAAGAGGACTGTATGGTAACCAGCGAAGGGAATAAACATTTCTAATTAGGTATTAGCAAGCAAAAGAACTCCAGTTATTGTGATAGCAACATGCTTGCTTAAATGAAATATTTGCAACAAAGTAAACCGTGCCTGTTTAGACTATACTGCATGAAATATTAATAAATTCTTTTTCTGTGTATTATGATATAAACTGGTAATTGGTTTTGAAATCTTACAATTAACCCTGGAGGTTTTGTTACAAAAGCATGAGTGGAATTGTACTCTCGGTCAGTTATGAATTTCTCCAATTGAATATATCATAAATCTTCCAGTCTAAGTAAAATGACAGAATTCTTAATTAAAAGTTCATGTTAAGAACATCAGCTTTACAAAAGGTGAATACAGTAATTTACCAACAGAGATATTTTAAGACTATTCAAAACCAATCTAAGCGCGTTTCTAGCTCAACTGACGATCTTACACTTCCATCTGTAAAACGAAATTGGGGAAGGCAAAGAACTTGCCACCATGCATGCCTTCAAAGATTGAAATAATTTAGATAGAGATTTAAGAAACTCGTGTACCATATCCGATTTTAAATGTAAACTGAGTTTGGAATCATTCTCAATAATGTAATTTCTTTTTCTCTCTGTATTATTTTGGTTCTGGAACATATTTTATTCCTTTATTCATGTGACTAGTGATATATTTAGAACAGGACCTCTCTTTATGTATATCACTGGTAGGCGAGGGAGCTTCCTGTAATAAATGTTATTAGTATTTACCATACAAGTGAATAGTGCTTTTCGCGCGCTGATTGGTTGCCTCTGRGGTGATTAGCAAGTGCTATTCACCTCTGAGCAGCCGGCGCGAGACTTATTTTAAAATTTCCGACCGCTTGTCACACATAAAATAAAGTTTTGGTCCGCTAATTATTCAGCTTGTGTGGTATATACTAAAACAATTATTCACCTCAGTGTCGGTGAAAGTGATAGATATTTACCTCCACTTCGGTGAATAATTGTTAATTATTATTATTTTACAACCGCTATCGTTAGCAGCCAGTTTCAGTTACTGGCAAACCGCAGTTACATCCCCAATAAAGCATTAAAATAACAAGCTCTTATATCATGAACAACCTTTCCCGAATTAGGCGACCACGACCGCCTTTGGTAATTAGAAACCTGCCTTGTGTCTTTGTTTTCAAGCTCTCCTGAGCCTCTCCACCACTGAGAGAAGTGAAAACAAAAATAATTTACAGTGAGACTGATTGCACTTATTCAGCACTGTAATGTGAAAAAAGTATAGCCAACTACTTCCTCTCAAATTTGCATACACGAAGATTTTAGCACGTTGCTGATGGGACGGTAGAACTGTATACTGTTGATTAGAACACTGTATTACTGATCCTCTGAAATGCTACTATTTCTCGAAGTTAACCAACTTTTACCTTTTCGGTGTTTTCTCTAACAATTAGAGAGCTTAAGTAACGACGACGACGACGTCGAGGACGACGCCTAGTGAAAAATGAATTTACATTTTACAAGCAGAATTCGCCATTGTCTAGATCTGTTCTGTACGCCGATGGCTCTAAAAACGGGCTCAGGCTAAATATGCATTGAGAGCCGTCAATTCCAAATGGAAATGCGAAAAATTAGCTATCGTCGACCCGTTCAGTAGACGCACAGAACGGCAAAGAAATGCACAACGATTTACAACGCACGTGCACAGCTATTGGTTTTCTCGTTAAACCTTTTGTTTGGTGACGTTCTCGTTGCCGTCGTCGTCGTGGTTTGCTTAAGCTCCCTGATGAATTCTCATCAGCGAAGAGTTCCATTCGCCACTGCTTTCAAAATTCAAGGTAGTCAGCAACAGGGCTTCGACTGTGCAAGTTCGAAATTAAAGCAATCACATTTCAGCTTTTACTTCTATGTGATTGCTCTAAGAAGTGCTACCTGCATGGCGACTGGTAACTATATCGAAAAGTCTTACAACCATTGTCATGCAAGAACAATTCACAACACAGTTCACAGAATGACGAAAAAAAACCATGCTTAAATTTCACATTTTAGTTCAGTTATGTGCCAAGGAAACGGTGTAAATAACATTGCTTTGTCATTTTTCTGTTCTTTTTGCTTCCAGTAGTAATTACACGTTAATTCTAAATCAGTATTGTAAGTTACAATTCTTCCTCATTCTAAAAAGTATGTGACCAATATAAAATGCATGAAAATCTCTGAAGGCAGCAAAGAGCAGTTCGCAAACTGTATTTTTTATTGAGTCAGGGAAAAAAATGTTATTAAACGAGGCGGCATTTGTTTGCAGATGGTTATTAGCCGAATAGCGCCTTTAATTCTCTATCGGGTAAAGGATTTACCGGTCGAATGTTGAGATTACTGTTTATCACAACACATGCGTATATTTATTTGGGGAAATAAACAAAAGCTGTGTATGGTTTTCACACTGTTTGTTATGCGCTCTGAGTCATGCCGTACGATTTTCCTTGACCCTCATGCACCTGTCTCTCATCCCACCCTTCCACACTAGCCAAGTCTGGACAGCATGGTTTTTAATTCAATATAAATCTAGTTGTAGATTGGTAACCGAAATACGAAATGACCAGCCAAGAATTGTCGAAATTCAATTTTGCCTGACTAAGTTCTTATGCAAAATGTGTTATTGAATAGAGAGGTTGGTGCTGTGCCTATTGACAAGTTGTCTGACAAGAAGCACGTTATGCTGTGAATCAATTCGCAGCATTTTTTCTATTGTGATAATTTTGTTTTGTTGACTGTTGGATTTCCTGTCTGAACCGGTACAGCTGAGTCCAGAGTTTTGCCAATACTTTAATTTAGCATTTCATCACCACCTTTAATTATAGAAAAATTGGGCTTCAATTCCAAACATTTTGTTCGTACAACTGACTCAAAGCCTTCTTATAAACTGCACAGGAGGATTATCAGAATTTTGTACTGATTTCGTGGAAGAATATAGATTGTTTACTAAGTTTCTGCTCGTATAGTCGGTGGCACCATTTTACAAGCTGAATAGACAAAGCTCCGAAAAGCTAAGGGGTGCGTTAGACAATTGCATATTTCATGAAACACTACGCCTTGTCAAAAACCGCAAGCAAATTGCAATTAGAAAGTTTGAAAAATTTCCAAAACTTGATTAAATCAACCATCACTTACAAAGCTAAAGATGAAGGTAAAACTGACTTTGTTTCCTACGACAGTAAAGACTTTAAAAATCTCAGCTGTCTGTGTTGATTGTTAGGAGAACGCAGCCTTAAAATGCTAAAAATACCAATTCTCTTGTAACGAACAAGGGAAAGTACCAGGGAAATTGAGAAAGGGTTTCAACCCACTCGTTACATATTAATAAACACGAGTAGTTGCCAGAATGCCTATCTATTCATCTCGACAGGATACGCGTCTAAATCTAGAAACAAGTCAAGAAAATGAATGTCCTTAGACGAGAATGCATTCAATCGACACTTTCACAAGAAAAAGAGATATATATTTAGTGTAATCCTTTTCAAACACTTTCATCACATGCTTTTAAATGCATCATATTGAATTTGTTATTGAGATCGTAAAAATAGGTTTTCGAAATGAATAATGAAATTTTAGGAATAGGAGAACATTTTGGCCTTTGATAATGTTTGCCATTTAAACACTGTTTTTTAATTAAGATGATACTTAAATACTGGAAGGCGGTAAAAAAGGCAAGAAAACGATCCATTCAATCTTTGTTTTGAAGTTAGTAGACGTCCGGGAGGAATTATCCGCATCGGATGCTTAAATTCAATGGCTCTTTGCTTTTTCCAAGCCATGCATCTTTGGACATCCGCCATATTTTGGGAGCTTAAGGGTTCACCTTTGTTTTGGGAGTTCGCAACTGAATTTTGACACTGTTGATTGCAGGCGAGTGGGACAGGTGTTTCCGAAGTGCCAACGGATGAATTCACAAACATGAACTGAACTGTTATAAATTCATTTAAAGGTCTTTTTTTTGCCATATTTCATCCGTTGAACAAAGTTAGAGAATCTTACAATAGGAGTGAAATAAATAATCATTTCCATTCTGTTCACACTTGCACTGGTAGGAGTTTCCTTTCATTATTTGCTGCAACATATAACATTTGTTATCTTTGAATAGAGAGGTACATGCGCTTTCAATTTAATCTGACTATATTTTGTCGTGTCTAGGCTGTTTGATATTCATAGTTATAGAATGAAAAGATCGCGACCGATTTTCTCCTTTACGTTCGGTTACTCCTGTTAACATTGCAATACTTTTTACATCTTTCAGTTGCACTTTAACAGTTGCCACGCGGCTTTGAGAGGTAAACCAAAATTCCTGAAAGAAAATAACCATATATTTCCCCTTCTGCTTCAAGACGAATCCGATTTCATATCGAACGGGGTCGACGAAAGGCAAGAGTATCAAATAACAAGGTAGAAAAATTAAAGAAAATGATACAAAATTGCTAATTTTTGTTGTCAAACCGGGCACGCAATAAATTATGATATATATCATATATAGTATTTTAACATGCTTGAATTGAAGAGGAATTATTTCTTAATTTACGGTGTAACTGACTTTCGTGTTGGATAACTTATCACCAACGGCTTTATTGAATAATACTTTCATATAAGAACGTTTTAAGGAAAATTGTTTCCTGACAATTCTTGGCGAGCAGATTTAGACTTCTGTTCTTAATTTACAATTAGGACTGTATTGTTAACCTAATAATGTGTCGTCCGTTAAACCCAACTTGGAATGGGAATATAAGAACTCTGCTTTAAATTTTTCAGGTTTACTTCCTAAATGCAAAAAAACTAAACTAAATTATTCGTCTCCATATATTTTAATTAAATTGCCAGTGAATATTTTGCAAGGGTTGTTGCGGTTATGTAAGGCTCACATGAATTTTCGGTGGCTAACTTTTTGTCTGGATGGCTGGCAAACACGAGCCGCAAAGTAAAAGTGTTTGAGGCATCATTGTTTTAAGTAAAATTCATTCAAACTGAAGTCAATAAACATCGGGAGAAAGTAAAACAACTTTACCTGCTTTTGAACCCTTCCTGAAACCATCAAATTACTGTCGGGAATTTCAGTCTTCGAAAGTCAAAGTTAAATTTCCTCACATATCCGTATGGATATCCGTGATAAGTGGCCTCTGTCTTTCAAACGTATCGCGACACAAAATGAAATTTTATAATTGAAAAATTGCTAGTTTAAAATTTCGGTGTGACCTCAACACTCTATTCAGTGAATCACAAGGTGTAGGTTGTCGTATTGTCTTTCCATGACATAGATTCTGGTATCTGTTTTCTCTAAGACAGGTAGGGGTATTTTGAGACATGAACTTTATTGTCACTTGGTTAAGCTGTGAATTATTTCTTACAACGTTAAAGAAGCGTGAACTGCTGAATCTTCAGCTGTTGCTTTATATTAGTGTAAGTGACACAACTTTTTTCCGAAAGGAACGACTAAGAAACATTTATGTGATATGCCAGTAGAAAGATAATCGATCGCGAAACAAGCGCTGTTCTAAACCTAAAATGCAACAACGATATTCCCTCACACCCACATTTTCTTTTTCCAGGATGCAGTGCAGCTCGTGTACAATTGAATTAAAGCTACTAACAATATTACAATCGAATAAATGCTTTTAAAAAGACATGAAGTGAAAGTATTGGTATACATCAAATTCATGATACTTCACATCGAATGTGCTTTGAAGTTACATAGATTTGAAGAAAAACGATCAAGAGATATAATTTACTACGATAATCAATCATGTCTTCAGATATAATTTACTAGACGAAATATTTAACAAATTGACGTTTACAGGCCTGTTCATGATCCGTTGCATCGCTTGCTTGTTCTAGCGAGGCAGGTTAGCTCCGATCTGGCTCTGTGAAGCCATGGGACATTGCCCGTGTCCATAGTACGACTTGTAATATGAGCTTTGGAATGGAGAAAACAAGGGCGCTTTCTCTGTGGCTCGCTCGGACATGGAATGCCCTTGATATCCAGAATTTGGAGGAACCAAAGCTACTGGTACATGACTGTGGTGATAGTCACTTGGTGGGATATGAGGGTCCTGGCTGGACAAAGCGTAGCCGCTTGGGATGTATGGACGTTTAGCTACCGTTGCTGTGGGAGCACTTACCAGCGGCATAACGAAGGCTTCGCTGTACGGTGGAGGAACGTGTGGGCTCAGGTAGTGATGCATTGGGTAGCTGTAGCTGGGTGAGAGTGCGTCAAAGTTGGAGCTGTACGCAAATGTAGCATAGGTGTCCTTGCTACGAGCGCTCTTGTTCTTTCTTCGACGAGGCTTGTACGAGTAGTCGGGGTACTTCTGGCTGTGAATTGATCGAAGTCGTTTGGCTTCCATAACAAAAGGTTTCTTCTCCTCATCACTCAAGCGGCTCCACTCTGCTCCCAACAGCTTGCTGATTTCGCAGTTCAGCATGTTCGGGTACTTGAGAGCGAGTTTGCGTCGCTCGGTTCGCGACCAAACCATGAACGCGTTCATTGGACGCTTGATGTGTTCATCTGAATCTGCCATGTCGCTTTCCGTGAATTTTGTCTAGGCTTAGCTCTTGGGCGCGTACTCAGGGCTGTCACAGGGAGGTGCGTTCCGATGAAACGCAGAAAATGAAACTGGCGTTGTGAGAAATTGACACGTTCCGCTTTCTTGTCAGTGCTTAGCAAACGGGAGCAAGGTGCTGCGGTTCTGTCACTTCTCTTTTGACCGCTTTCAATATCGCGCGTCTATCAGTGGACACGAGCGAAGTACAATCCTTCTAATGCCACTTCGAATTTTCGGTACTTGATATAGGAGAGGCTAAACAATAAATTCAATGAGATCGTGAATTATTAATGTAGCTCTGTGCGAGCAGTTTACGCGCCATGTTCAGCTGCAGGGATGTGAAATACAGCTGGCGCGGGCGTAACAATGGCTGTTTAATGGGCCTAAATTTTGCTCAAAACACCTATTTAGAGACCCAAACTTTTCCGCAAACTACAAAAAATCTATTAACTTTGAAATTTAAAAATAACTCTGGTGTTCTTTTCGGGTAAATCGCATTGTGCAACATAAAAACTTAGACGATCTTGATAATGGAGCTTAGAACAATACATTCAAAACATAAAAACAGATAAACTTGCCAAGATGCAGTTTTCATTTGTACGGTTAACTATTTTTGATGCTTGTGATAGATTCTTTTTTCAACATATATTTTGGTATTCAATCCTGGCTGACAGCTAGCTGGTACAGGGATTCAGTGTTTAAAGAATAAGTAAAAAATACACAATGAAAGAGACAAAAAATTGTCTTTTTCATAAACATGTGTCACCAGAATAAACGGTACAAAATTAAAATTGAAATTGAAAAAACGAATCTCATAAAAGCGATAAAACTGTGTTTTTAGCAAAAGGTGTAAGTAATGTTAATCAATTATTTTCACTTGACATTGTGCCCTGAACATGAGAAAATTTTCCATTTGAAAAGGTCACCAGCAGACGCTTAGCGAAAGTCTCAGCGGATTACTCTTCGTATATCCGGGGCGATGGAAGCTCGGTGCATGCATGAACTTGCTTTCATAAAATGTTTCGATTCAAATTGAAATGGAAGGCTGTTCAATCTTATTCAAACATTGATGTAAATTTACTTCGATACTTTGAATGGGAACGATTTCTTGTTGGGGAGGATACAGTCATGCAAGATTTAAGAATGAGTGCAATACAGGGTTGACACGAAATCACTGAGGTTTGTCCCTCGTTGAAAACCAATTATCAAGAATTCTTCCCTTTGAGTGGTACCTGCTGGCTGTCCTTTCATTAACGACCGTGTACAAAGGCTAAATAAGCATAATTAATAAGCGCGAGACAGCACAGGCGATAGGCTTTCTTAAACATTGTTTATGAGTGGTGTATCCGAGGAACGATTCCAAACCGTTTCCATGCTTTTTAGAGGATCAGTCCCGAGGGATTAGTTCAGCCGCTGTTGTGAGTTTCTCCAGCATTTTTCTCGATGCGTAACATCCAAATTGGTGTATTTCGGAGAACAGTTGTTGATTACACGTGATTAAACAAGGAGTCACTTTTGTGCTAATTTGAATTTCAAGACCAAGTTGTTGTGCGTGAGTGTATGTTTTTCTCACCGACGTGATGCAGTAATATCTGTGTACACAAAGCCAGAAAATTTACTACCTTCAACTTAGATGGCGCCTAAACAAAGGAATCCGTTTAAGAAAATATCAGCCTACATGATTTGTTTAAATATAGCTTGAGATTACAATTCTTATTTCACTGCTGATGCGAGTCGAGAGGCTTGCAGACAACAAAGGATGACATAACATTGTACGAGAGAAGCATGCAAATGTGAATGACTACAAATATCTAGCACAGAGAAAGCAATGAACCGAGTACCCTGAAATTTACATTAAGTAGCTCAATCCACGTGCTTTAGTTTTGTCAAACACAGAGAGATGTTGCTTTCTTTTTAATTTCTATTTTGTGCTGTTATATGATGCACGGACGTAAAAGTAAACATACTTTCTTGACTTTCACGGCGTGAAATGTACAAAGTAAATTACTCAAATGATACAAGCATGCCGCGATGACGAACTGTTCAAATATATATTTAGGTCGTTCTGGGTTTCATATTAAAATCGTTAAATCTTTTTATGCTTCGCATTGTTATGTAAAATGAAATGAAAGGAAACTCTAAAGTGCAAAACCATTGCCATTCTTTTAAAATTGGAAGCTTGTAATGAGAAGCCGAAAAAGTGATTTTAATAAAGAAGACTGGTATAACCTGGTTTTGTTAACTCTGCAATAAATACTGGAAGTAATCATTTCAAAAGTGTTAGGTGCGTTAACGAACAGATTAAAATGTGTGTCAAGATGGAGACTCTTGGAGTTAAATAACACACTTATCAAGACCTTGAACCGGGTTGTTTTACAGTTTAAATAATAAATTATCACCAACGAGGCGTGGCGGTGATAAGGATTTTAGTGCCCGCTGTTCGCGGAATTCAGGTCGAATTTAGTAGAAAATCGACACGGCAGCAAATGTGAGAAAACACGCTTCTGATAACGAGTATAAGAATTTGGCTAAAAGCCCATACTTTTGGTTTGAGACGTGCCTGCGGTTAAAATGCACGCTGGTCGATTTTGATAACATATCATGGACCAGAACAAAGGTTTGAAATTCATCTAAGTTCTAACCAGATACATTGGTCTTCTCTGTTCTGTAATTTCGAGTGATTTCCCTCGAAGGATGTCATTATGATTACATGGAAGATACCTTCGATGAATCACCTTGCAAACCTATTTAAAAATTGAGAGGCGTTTCCTAACATTTAATTTCAATCTTCTCGACATTGTCTTTTCCATCTCTCGTTAATCGGCGAAATTTTTGTCCTTTTCTTTATTATCGGTCTTATTGGATACTAGCTGTTATTAAATAGCTGATTGCAACGTTCGTTGCTTTTGGCAACCATTGTATTTCACTGAGTAAGCCTTTTGAAGAAACTAAAAGGTGCACAAAATCATAGCCTCATAATTAACAGCCAAAGCGAGTTTCCACTTGTTTAACACTAGTAAATGGATTGTTATATCATATTTTAAAAAGCGATTAGCCTTTAGGCTTTTCTCATATTATAATTACTCATAATCACGTGTGGTAAAGCTTTTTTTGTTAAACCTCGGAAGGAAGGACAAACAAATATATAAGCATAATCAGATTTCGTCGTTTTGCAGCCTACATTTTGTAAAATTCCCTTGAATTACCGTGCGTTAGATTTTGCGTAATCAGATTGAATGGGCTTCGAAAGACGCAACCAGCCTTAGTAATTCTCAGTTGCCTGTTGTATTGTTTCATGGACGTTGCTTTCAATAAACTAATGTTATTCAAAATGTCCCATCATTTAAAATTTGCTAATGTTTTTCTTTATCAGACTCATTATCAAACCAGCTAGGCAACAGCGACATATGTTTGTAAGAATCAATGTTAAAAATAATTGTTGTTGTTTTCTGGTATTTCTGTTTTTCAAGAGCTTAGTCCGACTTGGCAATTTTTTCGGACTTCGAACTGAAAACTTTCTAATTTGCAACGGTCGACAAGCTTTAAACCAAGGCGGTTCAATATTTAGATTTGCTCTTTTGATATAACAAAACATTGTATAAACAACATATCATAGGATCAATATCAGTGGATATAATTCATGTTTAAATGCTAATGTCTTTTTAAAAGACCCTACTGAAACAACAGGCAACTTCGTTCAAACCCCTTTTTGCGGAAAGCACTAAAAGACAGATGGATTTTAGTTGCAAACAAAGGAAATGACCAATACTACTACTCTTGTAATATGTGCGTTTCTACAATGTTAATCCAGATTTTACACACCCCATGTGGGACGCGACAAAAAAAAGATAATTATATTATCAGCGTTTTTGTGTCTGCATCCTCAAACTAAAGAGAAGAAAACAAACAAATACCTAACAGGGCAAAGCGTTGGCTAGAAAATGGTACGTGGACTGGCGATGAAATCAGAGATAACTTCACAAAAGGAAACCTTTCCATTAAACAATGAACTGTGAATGTTTCTTTCCGCTCGAGAAAACAAAACATTTTTTCAGCCGCTTCGTTGGAAATGGCGAAGCAATTAGCCCTTTTTAAAGATTTTTTTTAGGATCAGAAATAAAACTAAAACACTCAATTGAATCTCATTTTAATCACATTATAAAGTCGATACCAAACGCGCTCATTCCATGAAAAGGCCGCGATGCGACACGAATGTAATCAAAAATATAAGCTGACAATGTTAAGGTGCTCACTTTTACAGGCTCTAACCCAGCGATTTCACTTATCCTCTGTAATATACATACTGATAAATGAACTATCGTATTAAACCAAAGTTTTCTTTGTTTCTAATAATGGTAAGACCCACGTGAACTGTTGTGAAAGAGATGATTGTACTCGTCAGACTCGCCTCTCACTTCTTGCAGTTGTTTATAAGCGCATCGAGTTACACCAAACGGGTTGCGCTTTGATAAAACACAAAAGAGCTTCAGGATTTCGTATCAATCGGGTAATTGCAATCTGCTTCCATTTGTCTTCCTCCGTCTGGTTTCATGGTATAACTCGACAACGTTCAAATTAAACAACTTTGGAAAATAGCCTGTCTTCTCAACATTGAACTTTCACAATATGCACGTGGACAACCATGAATACAGTTGAATGGCTTGGGTTTTATTTTATTCTCTTTCCAGGCCGACTTGTCTTCAGTGACTAAAAGGATTTAAAATTAATTTCGTTTTAGACAAACATTGTTTTCTCTGGCCACGCGCTTACCTGCCTCGCTACTGTGAAGTTCCCGATGAAAAACAAACGACATAGAAAAAAATATTACTTGAAAGTACTGAACGTTTGGTAATTGAACAAATACATGTTTCCTGCTTTTCTTTACACACGCGGAAACTTGTTGTAGCATACTAACAGTTATAACGCGTTTAATTAGAAGTTTACTTTGACAAACGGTTTCGAAAACAAAGCCGCCATTTCCGTCGTAAAACAAGCGAATTTAAAAGTTGGTAACTCCTGGATAGTAAGATAGAATGCTGTATGTACCTTGTAAATTCGAATGTAACTAGGTATCGAGGTGAAATACCAAGGCCTGTTGTTATTTATTTAATGTACGGACAGAATGTAAATGTAGCGACTTTATTCTTTTATAGTAGCCAGGCTTGCTAGCATGAACATGCATAGCTTTAAAACTGACTTCCATTGACATACGAGGAAATAATCAGTCATTTGCATCTTTATCAAAGCAAATTTTCTAATAAAACAAACAGATCATCCAAATGGCTGTATTTTATACGTATAGTGAACATCAATCAGAAAATAAAAGGGAGCTGGGAAACTTCCTTCCTCCCCGAGTTTGCTGAATCAAAAATCATTGACCAAATGCGTGTCTGTAAAGGCCGTGCCAGTTTTCAGTTTTCCCCTGACCAGTGGAGTTATTCTCTTCACTCTCTGTTCCACCCTAAACGGGGAAAAAGTACGGTCGTTTAGTATGCGAGCAACGTGCTTGTGTCGTGTGTGTAACGGACTGGCCGGGTGAGTAGTTGGCCTATGAAAAGGTTTCTTCTTTAAATAC